GAACCAAGCCAAATAGAAGTATCTGTAGGAGGTAAGTGTTTGTCTTCAGTTATTATCAACAAATGTTTTAAACTCATTTTGCACAAAGTTACATCTTTTTATGCAAAAACAAAAAAAAGGGCTTTTATTGGTTCCCAGGACACTTTTTCATCTGTATTAATATCATGCTGCATTTTGTGAAAAATACTCTGCAGCAAAAGTTATTCTTCAAATAATTTTACAGAGGAGTTTTATGAATTGTTCTTGGTTGGTGAGTCATGACTATATATAGGGTTTGAGTGATTGCTCATATCCTGAGCGATGTGCTGAATAACTAGATGCAGTAGTTCCCACAATTTCTGTAAGTGAATGATTGCCATCATCAGGAAATTTGAATGCCATATTGACTTGAATATACTGTGAGGGTGTGTTGGGGAGGGGGAAGAGTGTCCTTTTTCCAGAACTTAAGCTCTGAAAAACATCCAACTTTCCCACTATGCATCCAAAAAATCAAAGCTGCCTCTGCTGTAGCCCCAGATTGTCAGCATGGTGCTGGGCAGCGATGGCTGCCCCTGGCATGGCTGGCACCGGGGATCTGAGGTGCTGTGCCAGTTTGGCGGGGTGCTGCCTTCGTGCCAGTTAGTGCTGGGATCAGTGGCTGTCTGATGCAGCTTGACAGCAGCGTAGCCAGAAACTTTGGGCTGGAGGCTGCTGTGCATCAGAACTTGTCATCTTAAAACTCTCAACTTGAGTTCGTTCCCTAATCCTGCTTAGTTTTCCCCAAGAGACAAAGCAGCAAATCTCAGCACTCCTGTTCTTCAGTATCCATGGAAATGTCCTTTTCAGTCTCACTGCCTTGCTTTCCCCGTCATGTCACTGAGCTCTGACACCAGCCAACGTGCTCAGCCAGAACTACTGTGACAAGCTCAGTAACAGGTTCACTTTGGGTGTTAAGAGTAGCTCTTTCTCGGAGCATAGATCAGTCCTGTTGCAGCAATCAAGGCAAGTGTTAAAAGTCGCAGAACACCTGACCTCCACATTTTTAAACTCCTGGTTGCTGAAAGCTGGAACAGCAATATAATGTATAATTCTAAAACTATATTCTGTCTGTATCATTCTAAAACTATGTGGGACACTGAAATTGTTAGAGGACAAAGGGGAGAGACAGTTGTTCCTGAATACCTCCACGTGGAGGAAACCTAGCTGTGGTGCTGCCAAGCGATGGTTTTGAATTTGTCATCTAAAACTGGATTTGGACCCAGTAACCAGAGGAATGAATGATCTTGAGAAAAGGCATGCAATTGCTGAAGAACTCAAAACTGCTTCAGAACAAGGCTGGAAGGTATAAAATGATCATGTGGTGAAATGGCTTGGCTTTGTAGTGGTGAATTACCCTAGCCCTGAACCTCCTGAACAACTTCAGTGAAAACCAATTTCCTCCCAACATCATATTCTCTGTTTATAAAAAAGAACAGAATCAGGCTCCGGGTCATATAGGCAGTGCTATACAAGCATGAGATTTCTTTGATTTACCTCCAAGCGTCCCTGTGAACAAGAAAAAGCAAAGATTTTGTAATGAAGTCTTCTGGAAATGAAAAAAATTGTCTCAAAAGATGATGAATGCTTTAGCCAAGAAGATGAAATTTCTTTCTCCCTTTTATAAGCATATCATAATGCCTTCCTATGCGATACTGTGCATCGAAAATGAAACCTTAGCTAGGGTCAACACTTGGTTTGGACAGATTGAAATGCAATAATGCGGAAATCTGTATCTCGTTGAGAAGAAAAGCAGTCCTACAGATGGAAAAAACATCTGAAAAACAGTGGTTGCCGTGAAGAGAGGAGTTTGTGCAGTGCATGTGAGTTGAGTAGCTAGCCCAGAAGGCGCGACTTAAACGCAAGTAGGTTCCGATGTTGCTAGCTGGCTTTGGAGATGGCATCTTCAACAGTGACACTGCGGTCGTGCCTGACGGGTCTGGGGTCAGGAGCTACAGCCTGACCTGTGCGTGTTTGGAAGGCTTCAGCCAGCAGTGCGTGTCTGGTGGGGCAGTCGAAGAGGGGAGTGGAGCTGGGGATCCACAGAGAGGAGGCAGCAGGATGCAGGCCAAAGCAGGGGTATATCTGACCCTTTTTCACTGAGTATGTGTTGATTCCTTTTTGGACTAAGTACCTTTCCAGCCCAGTGAGTATTTCGGCTCCATCAAAAGCATTTTTAAGTTTCATACACTTCTAATACCAATTTTTATTTCTGCTCTTTAAAAACTGGAGTTCTCTAGATCCCAGGCTGCTTCACGCTGAAGTGAATATGGTAATTTCCATAGAATCAGATTGTTGTGACCACCTTTTTCTTTATCATTAATAGTTTAAAAGGATAAAGTAATACTTTACATATTTTCATAGTTTTTTACTTATTAAGTACAACAATAACAACAAAATTCGTTGGGAATTTGCCTTTTTTTCTTCATTCATTACTGCTTTTTCAACAGATATTACAAAAACAGAAGAAAAGTCTCAAATAAAGCAAGAACCAGACCCAACGTGGTAGAGCTCATCAATACCAGGTAAGAGAATGAGTGTTTCTTGAAGTCAACACCTGTCAAGGAATTTTTGTGTTTTTGAGTGGGGAGAAAAGGGCTGAGATCCAGGACTGAATGCCAGAAGGTGCCAGTTCTTTACTTGGGATTTATTTTATTTCCCTCAGTTCTCACCTATAAAATGTAGGATGTTTTCACTACCATATCTAAATACAGCGTAAAGCACACTGCGTTCAAACTTGTGAGGCAGTCAGTCCTAGGAAAATGTGGTTTATAAATAAAAATGGGTGTTATAATTACATACCTCAGAGGCAGAGTAAACGAAAGCTTAGGGAATTTGTGTTTACGAAGAGCTCTGACATGGCTGTGTGAAAGAGCATTATTATTCTTGGTAAAACCTACATATTTCCAAATTGTAATTGAGCAGGAAAGCTCTTCACGATGACTGCGTATTGTCTAAGCATGGGGCACTTGGTGAAGCGGTTAGCTGTGGTGGCAAACCAACTTCCTTTACGTTTTTTTCTTTTCCATTAACTTCTATGAAAAGTTGAGTTTGATTTACAAGGCAAAAATGTCCGAAACTTTCTTTTATACTATTTTAAACTTGATTCATTCCTAAAAACGACATTTTGGTGGAGGTGGGGAACAGTGCTAGCGATGCTGTCTCATCACCAAACGTAAACACTGACCCACGCGGCTGTGAGTCTCCATGCTTCATTCAGAGAAAAGGGCAATTTTAAGCTGTCACAGCTCTGTAGTAGGTTTTCCCATTTCCAGTTTTTTTGATAATACTCCAAATATTTTTCTCATTGTGTAGTGTTTGATACTTTAGCAATTTGATTTGATTGCGCTCAAGCTGGATGCATTTGTTTGGGTTACTTGAGCTGTAACCTGTCTGGCTTCAGCTAGAAAACGACATGGTGTGCATCTCAGAAGAAAACATCTGTGTTCTCTTCCTGTTCTGAGGGCACAGCCAGGCAATCCGCAAAACGGAGCTCTGGTTCTTCATTTCCACTGGCCTGAGCAGTGGCGAGTGACGGTGGGCTTTGCCCCTGGCATGAAGCCGTGGCTGGGGGAGGCTGGAGCCCCGCGGGTTTCACTTGTGGCACCATCCGGCTTTTTGGAGAGGGCAGGTTTGGCCGTGGCCCTCCATCCGTGCATCATAAACACAGCCTGGTACGTGGAGGGCTGCTGACGGCATTGCGATGAGGAGCTGAGGGGACAAATGGTTTGGTAGAGACTGGCAGACCAACTGTCTGTGCCCTGGGAATTACAAGTACAGCAGTAGTCTTCCTAATAAATTGGTAAAGTCCGCTTTGGGATTATTTGTCATAAAACTGAGTATGGCAGGAGGAAATAGGTTAGAGAAAAACTCTTGGTTTGTCGTGGGCAGCACTTCACGCGGGGGAGGTACAAAAAGCCACCTTACTTGTCCATGGAAGGTCACTGAAATTTTGTCTGAGCAATGGCTGCACAATGTGGTGCTCCACTGGTTCGGATTTTTAGATGCTGTAGGCCATCCAGCTGCATTGACACTAGAGCAAATATTTGATCTAAATTCTTGCAGGGAGCACTGAAGCACACATTTAATCTCCTATTTATTGAGAGCAATATTCAGCTTCTGCGTGCTTTCTGAATCTAGGCCTAAAGAACTCAGAAAGGGAACACAAACTACTCGTATTTGTAAGAAGAAACAGAGCTGCGATGGAATTAACTTACTTTTGTTATCTTTCTTACC